GCGTTGTGAAGCTAGAGATTATTCCCTGGCTTGAAACATACCGTGCGCCACACTAAAATCTTGAGCATTACTGTAGTCAACTTGGTGGAACTTCAGATCTCTTCCAAGGCTGTACATCACTTCCAAAACGGGGACATCCAGCATCTTCTTTGTACCCTTTTGGATAGATGATCTTCGGGCTGGGCGAGGCGACACAGAAATCGTCGACGTTGACGTGTCCATGTGCGAGACTAATTACTTGCCCGTAGCAAACGGTTATTTCCTACTAACAGTACGGCTTAAACAGTAGATTTTACAAAATCTGCCTTGGACATGCTCGTATTTGTATTCTCAAAAATGGCTGGGGCGGACCAGAGCGAACCATCCTCAGTGTTCAATTCTCGCTCTTTCCATAGTCTTGCTTGTTTCGCTCCACGTCCAAGATTTGCCCTATGCTACCACATTATCAAGAACCGGGCCTCACATGAAGAATACAACTTGCCCTGGCCCCATTCTTTGAGGCGTGCCGGACTAGATCGAGGGCAGCGGCAGCCAGACGGAGTCAGGCCGCCTCGCTTGGAATCTTGCCCGCCCCAGACCAAGATCGATCCTCAGAGCGCTAGCACGGGAGAAAATGCGGAGGTTCTTGCCTCAGCATCAGTGTACCTCTGTTGAGACTCCGAGGAACTTTCCGGTAGCGGGAGTATTGGAGCACACGTCATGTGCTTGGACTTATCAGAGCCCTCTTAGCCTATATATACCGGTGCCCAAAGTCTAACATATCGTTTCGGGTAACCAGGAAGAATGCACCTTTAGAAGTTCAAGTATGTAATACATGGTCTCTTCGGTTCTCAGTATCAGCCATTCCCTTTCTGGCCTAGCCTACTATGTTGGCATGGCTGAAATATGACAGCACCCCTCCTTGCACACCTTTTCACGCCACCGATGAAATGGCCGACTTACAGAAATCATATCAACATATCGAGCATGCGTCGACTTGTCCATACGCCACAGACCCGCAAGGTGCGATGCTATCATAGAGATGCAAGTAGCCGGCCTTACTCACTGCCTCAGACGACTGCGACTGCTTCTACTCTGCGTTATCCAAGACATCCGTCTTCCAGCCGGCCACTTCTGAAGCGCCAAGCGACGCCACTGGTCATCTGGATGAGCTTGCTCTAAATCATATCCGTGATTTCGTCAGCCAGAGGCGCTTGCAGAGAGGCGAAACCTACAATCAATCTCCTTCATCATCGCCCTACCAACCCCTTGCCGATGGCGAGATACGCGTTCTGGAGCTATCCCCTGGGGATTTTGAAAACCCTTTTCACGGCAAACTGCATCTAGTTAACATTGACTTTTCACATCCATCAAGGGCTGAGCATACCGTGTATCCCTTCGACGACCCCGCAAACACGAGTAGAAGGACATTCACATACACGAGGCACACTAATCACGCAGTATCCCTGACTACAGAAAGTCCGGTATGGTATACTGCTCTCAGCTACGTATGGGGTGCACCAGTATTTGACGAGACAATTTGGTTGGGAGATGTGTCTGTAAAAATCTTGAAGAGTCTGGCTAGTGCTCTGCGCTACCTGCGCTTGAAAGACAAGAGTATATTTGTGTGGACAGACCAGATTTGTATAAACCAGCAAGACATAACAGAGAAGGGACAACAAATTCCACTAATGGGCATGATCTACTCGCATGCAACCAACACGGTCATATGGCTTGGTGATGATGATGGTGAAGACCCCGTCGGCGCCCTCGACTTGCTGGAGACCGTCTACGCTCGATTACAGGGAACAGATGCACAAGTAACACCGGCAGACTTTGTTAGATTAGACTTTCCTCCCGTCTCGGACCAAGTATGGTGGGATGTTCGACAACTTCTCCGGAGGCCCTGGTTCAGTAGGTTGTGGACAATACAGGAAGCGGTGCTATCGAGGAATCTGTTCATTAAGTGCGGCCAAGCATCAGTCTGCTGGGATGACTTGGCAGCCTGGTGCTACTGCTTGGAAGAGACCGGCATACTCCGCTGGCTCATCAGCAATGCAGAATTAGACCTTCAACGTCCCCTCCGAGAGCATACAAATTTCTTGCACCCGCAAGGAGCTGTGGTTATAGAGTCCATCCAGGCGGATCGTCTTCATAACATGGGGCTCATCCAGAAGGAATATCTACTGAATATTCTAGTATCCACAAGATATGCGCAGGCAACAGAGCCTAAAGACAAGGTTTACGGTGTCCTTGGAATAGCCGACTCCAGCATCGTCCCAGATTATTCTCCAAGTCTCTCTGTAAGAGAAGTCTATCATCAGGCATGCTTGACGCAGCTACCCCATCTGAAATATGAGCTACTAAGCTGCGTCGACCACGATCAGCCATTGCAGCCATCATGGGTTCCGGACTGGAGTACTCCACGAGCTACTGAAGCGTTGGGTTACTCGACGAAAGCTTGGGCTCTGTATTGCGCTGGAGGCAGACCCGTGAATGGAAAGGAACCACCCAGAATGGCATTGAGCGAAGACAGGAACGCACTCACGCTGACAGGAAAGGTTTTCGACACGATCATCAGCGCAGGGTGTGTTTGCGAGGATCCTGCGCTTGACATCATCGACCCCAAAGACAATAACTGCGATCTGGCATCATACGTCGATCTGGCACTCGGATCAAAACAATGGCACAAGTATCTCATATCTGGTACTTCAGTTTACAAGGCTTTCCTGAACACTCTACTCGCAGGACGAGATGGCTCGGGGGCCTTGGCGCCGACGATTGACCACGAGGAAGCTTTTGGCCTAATACTTGATTCAACGACTGGCCAAACGCCTTCTTTGCCCGGCCAAACCATCAGTATACGCCGTCAGAAGGGCCACTTTACACTCGAGAATCTCAAGACACGGAAGCCGGCCAGGACTCTGGAAGATTTGCAAACGGCGCTCCGGGCCGCATTGAGCATGCGCCGATTCGCCGTCACCAAGGAAGGTTACTTTGCACTCGTTCCGAGGGGCACGCAGATCGGCGATGAGATCGCAGTGTTCGATAGAGCCTGTGTGCCCTTTGTGCTGCGGCGGAAGAACAGCTATTCAGTGCAGAATGATTTTGAACTCTTGGGCGAAGCGTACGTTCACGGCGTCATGAATGGAGAGATCATGGTGAATACGGATGACACAACCCTCGAAGATATCACGCTTGTTTGAGGTCGCGACGGATACTCGGTCAGCCGAAGCATATCCGATTTCATTCTGAAACAGGGTTCCCACGTGATCGTGTGTGCGAAGACTACTATGTATCGTGTCCTGGTATTTTACATTTTGCGGCATAGAGTGCGTATTAGCTAGGTCGGTCACAAGCTACACCCCTCATATAAACCGGCATTTATACCCACGAACCTTGGCCCAACGATGTCTCGCAATCTACTTCCAACAATGCGATTGGCTCAAGCCAGTGTCGCGTAAACCTCCGATGAACCCTCGGCATGTCTTGTATATTGCTTAATTTATACTACTGCCACTACATGTTGTCGGCTGCACGCGTTCCGAACGCAAGACGGAGGAAGCAGCCCCGCTAGGATTTCCATGGGGGGGGGGGGGTCGAGCAGGTAGCCCAGCAATCGATTGGTGGACATAGTAAAACGCTCCACTTGTTTATATCCTAACTCGTGGACTGAATGGCATCGCTAAATACTAGTCTTACATTGTTCGATGTTTAGTGGTGTGGTAAACCCCGGATCTCGGGCCAGGAGTCTGGGTAGGTAGACTGGAAGAACTTGTTTAAAAGGCGCTCAAGTCCTCATCAATTCGACATTCGACATCCATTTACTCTTCGAACAAGGCACCAGCGCAAAACATCAATATGAGACTCTCAACACCTCTTGTCCTCGCTGCGGTAGCCTCCTCAGCCACCGCCCACACTATCTTTCTTAGCCTCAACGGCGGTGCCGTTGGCGATGGAGTGCGCGTCCCCACATACGATGGCGTACGTCTCACTACACACCTAACTATTCACCATTTTCCTTCTCTAATCTTGAAAATACATAGCCCGTAAGCGACGTAACTTCGAACTCAATAGTTTGTAACGGACCTCCCAACGACGTCCCCGCCAAAACCAATACCGTCATCACCGTCCAAGCTGGCTCCAAAGCCACTCTGACATGGCGACACACACTCACTTCTGGGCCCAACGACGTCATCGACGCCTCACACAAGGGGCCAGTAATGGCTTATCTGAAGAAAGTCTCAGACGCAAAGACTGACTCTGGCGTCGGTGGAGGCTGGTTCAAGATTGCACAGGATGCTTTCGACGGCTCAAAATGGGGTGTCGATCGCCTTATTGCTAACCAGGGCAACCAAACCATCACCATTCCAGCTTGCATAGCACCAGGCCAGTACTTGCTCCGCGGTGAGCTCATTGCGCTCCACTCTGCTAGCCAGCTTTTGGGAGCTCAGTTCTACATGGTGAGTTTCTAGCCCTTTTTTGGCTTATTCTACCAAGCATCATACTAATACGATGGACGTAGGAATGCGCACAGATTAATGTAATTGGTGGCTCTGCTAGTAAGACTCCTGCAACTGTTTCGTTTCCTGGAGCGTACAAGCAGAATGATGCGGGTATCGTGTACAACTTGTATACTGGCTCAAAGACTTATACCGCGCCTGGACCAGATGTTTTCACTTGCTAGAGATGTCGATGAGTGATCTACATTCACTGTAAATAGTTCTCAAAATAGATTCATACCTCTAGAGAGCTTTCTTTGTGTATCAAGTTGGTATAGGCCATTTATTTGACGATGACAGTAGCTTTTTTATTTTTCTCTATGTGGGCATGGATGTGCAGGTATCGATCCTTTCTTCTCTTAGCCTCTTCTCACACTCATACTTCTAAACTGTATGGCGATTGATCTCTGTTAGCTTTAACTGTTCAATTTTGCACTTATGTCTTGCGGGTTGTATTTTCTTCCATGAGATAAGTGCTATCGCAACATGACTGCAACCAGTCATTCGGAGATCTTTGTTTCAAGCGTTAACATTGACACCAGTCTTAATCAATACTCTGATCGTTTCTGCAAAGCCACTTGTGGTGTCGTTCGAGTCACAGTAAGAAGTGGCCCAATGCAATGGTGTCCTGCCTAAGGTGTCTCTTGCGTATAGGTCGGCTCCATGCTCGACTAAAAACTGCACCATTTTGGGATTTTGTGATCTGACTCCCTCCATCAGAGCTGTCGAATCATCGGAGGTTTTTTCGTTGATGTCTCTTCTTAGAGATATCAGTAGCTCGATGATTGGTATTGCAACTGCTCGAGGCCTCCAGCCAGCGAATGAATGAAACACCGTCTCTCCGGCATTGTCTTTTGCTTTGAAGTCTAGTCCTTCACCTAGGAAACGCCGCATCAATGCTTCACTTCCTGAATAAGCCGCCGCATGAAGTAATGTGCCTCCACAATCATCCTTGACCCAAGTATCAGCGCCAATCTCGAGAAGCAATCGTACGTTTTCGATGGCACCGCTTTGGCATGAGATGTATAACGGAGTCTTCCCATCATGATCCCTTGCTTCAAGATCAGTTCCCTTACCAACAAGTAACTGAATTGTTTGCTTTCCACCAATGCCTGGAACGAAGTGCGGTGGGACCTTATTGTAGCGGAATTGGCCTCCCATTAGATTTGCGTTTGCACCCAAATTGAGTAAGAGCTGCACAGACTCCGCGTATCCATTCCTCACTGCAAGATGCAATGGCGCAGTGCCGCGCAGATCTAATTCATAAATATCTGGTCCCCTCTCCAGAAGCATATTCAACATTCTTTTATTGCCCCAGCGAGTGGCTTGATAGAAGGGATTTGCGCGATATGGATGTATTGTGACAACTGTGTCTTGATCAAGAAGTCGCTGTGCCATTATCCCAAACCCGTTTTTGAATGATCGCTCCAAAGGCGTGAAACCCTCGTCATCCTCTATATTAACATCGACTCCATGCATAAGTGGTAGGTAAACCACCTCGTTGTTACGTCCTTCTACAGCCTAGTGCAAAGGCGCCATTTTTCTTTGATTCTTCTGATCGAGGAAATATAGTGATTTGAGTTCCGGGTTGTCTTGGAGTATCGTCGCCATCCAGGAGGGCACTCCGATGTAGCTTACGATATGCAGCAAAGGAGGAGTGTGAGTCAGGCGAAGCAATCGCATCGGAATATACACGTCCCACCACTTGATAGGTAGCGCGGAGTGGGGCTCCAAAGAGTGATGTAAGTCGTTATAGAGCTCATTTGCAGGATCAGAGCAAAGCCGGGCATGCGTATCCCAATGATTGGCCGCATAAATAAAGAGCGGTGAATAAGCTAAATGGATTCCTCGCGAATCCTTCCATATAGACCGAGAGTCACTCTTTTGCACAATGCAGTCGAAACATATGCGAGCGATCAGGCGATGTGTTTCCTTCTGCTGAACCCGAAAAAACTCCAAAATGCTGTTAATACCTCTATTCCAGCGCAATAGATAGTCCCTTGCCGATTGATGGATGAACATAACATTTTCATGCTCAACTTTTAACATTTGACCACACAGGGATATTGCACCCATGGTTACCTGCTTGAGAAGAACATCTGTAGGCACTAGGCTGATGCCTTTGGAACAGATGATCTGGGAGCTGGTTTCAGCCCTACAACTTGTGCCAGTTCTGCAATTGTTAGGGGGCGTTGAGCAAGGCAGACCCATTGTAAGATCAGCGATGATGTCTTTCGGCTGTCCGAAAGAATCCCAAGTAACATACGATCATACATGTTACCAAGATCGACCGGTAGTGACTCCAGCTGCCTGCATACCTGGCTCCATGTACGCATCTTCAATAGCTTGTTGATGAAAAAGCTTACCCATAGAAATATGCCACTATCTCTTGAAAGTAAGGCTTCCTATACTGTTGGGCGGAACGCGTTGTCTAATCTCTTTCTGTGAAACAGCTCATCCACTTTTTCGCCAATCAATAGTTCAACATCCCCGCCACCACCATTGCTAACATGGTCTTCGTCGAGATCCCCCTTGTTGCAGCATTCCAATCGCTCTATTTCGCGGCTCACGATGAGGAACTTGGGAAGATTCTCTGGCCGATTTGGCGAGGTTTGGGAACCAAGTTGGTCCACGAATCTCGGGATAAGAAATCTTTGCGTGTCCTCGTCACACTCATCAAACCCATCCACTATGCAAAACAGGTGGCCCAGTGCCGCGTCAGCAATGATCTTTTGTAAGATTATCCAGAGAGATGCCAAGGAACACAAAGTATCAGCTCTTCGCTCAGGTAACTCGAGATATGGGAAGGCGTGTTTAGCAATCTCTGGCCGTTTGTCTATAATTTGATACAAAAGGCTTCTCAATAAATTTGTGCCCTTATCCCGCTTACTACGAATGCAGAAATAGTACGCGACTTGTTTTATTTGTTCATTCGATAATAGCAGCTCAAGGTCTTCCGCCAGAAAGATTGAGAGCATAGTTTTGCCTTTTCCTGGTCCCCCTTTGATCCAGAGCAGAGATCTTTTGCCTTGTTTCTAAGATTGATAATCTCTATTATTCTTGATCCACTCACAAGTCTCAGTAACTCTAGCACCTTTACCAATGACGAGCTCCAAACGGTTGACCTCAGGCTCGGAAACGGATAGCGCATCTCGGCATAACTTCGCTCGCTGTTCGATGGTCTCTGTCAAGTCTCAGTAAGAGCTAGGATATCGAACGATCATGTTCAATGTGCCCTGAGGATTTATACAGAACCCGAAATATACATCGCGCGGAGACTTATAGACGCCCTGCTATCCAGTTTGTATGGTTCCATGACTGATATTCTGATGCTGTGTAGAGTGACTTGCAAACATCAGTTTGGAGGGTAGGAGTCAATTCTTGCGAAGATTCGGTCGTGATACAAGTAATGCAGTCGCAAGGGTGATGGGAAAGTACTGAAACCCTTAAGAAAGTTTAGGGATACATGGGCGAAAGAGGCGGAGCCACGTTGGTAGCCAAGCGGGGTATACGGCGCAAGAGTAAGAAGTAGAGGACTTGGCAATGTCTAGACAGCTTTCCGCCCCCAAATCTTTGGACACATAGGGTTAGATCAAAGAACATAACATTGACTCTGAGGTACATCTTTCAGAAACACATTACTATTGAATATCCTGATAATTTGAGTTTCCCGCCCTGCGCGTCAGCAGAGCCGTATTAGAGACAGCTACAGATCTAAGGTAACATACAAGGCAGGGAATTGCACCGCCTTTTCTGATCCCGTCCTAGGTACTGGATATTTATTCCCACGTCGTTACCTGGTCTTGGGGGTAAGTTCAGCCATCATTGTTGATTAGGGTCATGGCGATGCATGTCACCAAGCTGGAAGAGACGGCAGGATATTGGCAATGAAGCTATATGCAAAGCTAGGGTCCGTGTTTTGATATTTTAATATCGATGATAGAAGAATATCTAGAACGACCACTCGTTTTCGTTGGAGCAAAGTACTAAGAACATGAATATTGCACAATCGACTACCTGGACCTCCTGAACACTCTCATTGACCTCAGCTTATCTGATCACTAGTTCCCCATCACTCAGCGAGGACTCCCGTCGTGTATTGTACCCCCAAAATGCCCACAATCTGAAGCGACCGAGGGCTTGGCGATGACAAAGTCTATGGACCTGGTGAATGTGAATACACTTAAAAATTGGGAATCACGTACCTTTTTCGTCTGTCTGGCTCGCGCTCTAGAGTTTCTACACAAACACAACATTCGGCATAAAGACATCAAACCCAGCAATATCTTGGTCAAAAAGATAGATTTCCTCTTTACAGATTTTGGAATGGCATATGACTTTACAGACTAGAAAGGTAGCATGACAGCGAGCACAGTAAACGGGATGACACTAAGATATTGCTCACCCGAAGTGGCAAATTATGAACATCGAAACCCACCGTCAGATATCTGGAGCCTGGGAGTGGTCTTTCTCGACATGACAACAGTGCTCAAAAGCAGAACAGTTGATTTCATTTACACCTTTCTCGAACAACGCGGGACGTTTCAAGTCTTTATACATACAAATCCTACTAGTACGGATGCTCCTACTTATCGCAGAGCTCAAAGAAACGGGTAATTTCGCCGACAATGCGGCGCTTTCGTGGACTCGAGATATAATCATGGTATAATAATAGCTGGTGTCCACTGCAGCATCGTCAATGGCATGTATACTCAGCGGAAGTCAGAAGGGGAGTGGAGATGAAGTCTTCTTTGGGCATGTTGCACTTCGCAGCATGATAGTCGGAGCGATTTTGATGAGCTGGAGATGGATGATTCCCGATTAATTTGCAACTAACATATCTTGAGATACGGGAGTTACACTACTAACAAGCATCGAAGTCGTCTTATCGTAACAACTAATAGTTAGCGCTTCTGACCTTGGACAAGTCCACCCTTCATCGCTTCATTCTCCAACATTCTTCCAGAGATACCAAAGCACCTAATTCCCTCTTTCTTTTGACAAATAAAGTGTCCATATAACTTGGAGCGAACATCCTCTCAAACAACATACACGGCGGTGCCTTTGGACGAGCGCTATGAGAAACCATTTGCTCAGCCTGATCCTGCAACAACGTTAAATTTCAACGTGATTAGAGAGGCTTTGTTATACATACCTGAGATGGCATCATGGTCCATGGCAAACCACAAAACAGGCATTTGTCTGCTGGTTCGCGCTTTGATACCTGTGCAGGGCCTTCTTTCCGATTATCTAGGCCGTCAACATCCCTCCGTGTGGCATCAAAAGGCTCTGATGAGTTCGGTGAAAATGGCAGCTGGTCGAAGCTCGGGCTAATTTGTTCGAGCCACTTCACGATTGACTGGCGGTGATCCATTGGTGGGTCGAAAACGAGTGGAGTACTGGCCCTGCGATACAATGCTCCTCCCTTTATGCCAGTGCCAGCCTCATCCAAGGAGTTCTCAGTTTCGCAGTCTTTGGAAGCCTCGCTTGCGCAAGTCGGATCGTCGTTTGCATGAATGCAGGGCTGGTGTGGTTGTTTTCTTGCAAAATGAACCCCATGATTGTGCTCTTTGCCCACGGTCTTTTCCTCGATATAGCATCTCAGTCCCTCTGATCCTTTCCTTCCATCAGCATTCGCACTCTTCTCTTCGTCGTCTGCTTTTTTGTCGTTGCCTTCTTTCGTATCCTGTACCCAAAAATAATAATGTGGCACATCGCAACTCTTGAACCTCACATACCGCAATTTCCCCAGCTCTTTCTCCTCGTCATGCATTTCTCCCGGTTCAAAGTCTAGATACGCAGGTATGTATCCTACAGCCCTGGGCCTCCACTTGCACGTTTCATACACCTCAGCCACCAACTTTTCCTTGATCCTCCTTGTTCTCTTCTTCCTCTCCTCCTTTGCCCCACAATACGCTTCACAAGTCCTATCTATGCGTTTCGCTCTTCTTTCTTCCATACTCCACTTGCCGTACACATCAGCAAGACTCTTAGTCGGATTACTAGCATTGCCGAGATTAAAATACAGCGTGGCATTGTCTCCTTGGACGAGTGTCCGAGAAGCCCATTCTTCACCAGTCTCAATCACAGCGTTGCATAATATGCCTTCTAAATGCCCGCCATGGGCTGCGGCACGTACAGAGTCAGGAAGAAGGGGGACAAAGTCTGGATCTACGGTTGGAGGGTATTTGAGACCAGGGAGGCAGAGTTTCTGCTTGCTTGTTGTCGTGATGATCTTGAGTGGAGAATAGGGTTTTATTGTCGGTCGGAGAGCAGGAACATGTGGGAGATCACGAGGCGGGATGGCAGGCGGCAGGATTTCGTGTGGCCATTCCAAGAGCTGCAGTTTACAGGATGGTATGAGGATGTGATTGGAGCGGTCGGGAATTGATTCTGTTGAAGTACTATCCCAGGACGAGACACTGAGTGCGTATCCTATAGCCTCGCCCCTGTACTCATCTGGAATGTTTTGCTGAGCTTCTATTTCGTTGTCACTCAGGGTGTCGTCGCTGACACTTTCTTCTCGCTCTCTTTTCCGTGTCTTCTCGGCCTTTCTTTTGAGTTTAGCTTCGATCAGTGCCTCCTGCTCTGCAACTATGCGCTCCTGTTCCCTTTTTGCTTCCTCTTGCTTCTTGCGGAGTGCATTTAGGTTTTCGCGTTCTGCGCATTTCTTATCTTCATCGCTTCGCTTCAACGCCCAAGCCATTTCCACCTTTTTCATGTCCTTGCGGTATACACCGCGCTCTTTTGCTGCATCGAGCAGCTCCTTGTAGTTGTAGGCATCATAGACAGAATTCGTCCTGTCTGAATCGCGCACCTTATGAGTGCCACCTCGGCGATGTGCAGGAGCTTGTGGTGCCTTGCTGCGTTCATTAGGGTCTGGAGATCGACTGGATGTGCTGGCAGGGCTTTGTTTCCCTTTGCCTCTGGGCATTGTACTGATGGCGTTTTCGGGACTCCCAAAATATTTTTATCACTATAGTTCGAGATTCAACGACACGTATGCCAGCTCCAGAAATCAAGGCAGAGGACACCAGAGGTTGCGTGGGACTTGAGGTGCGATGGAGATGTCATGTATTTCTGATGCCTACTGCGAAGCCCATGTCTTTGACGAGTCTTGGGTGGAAACGGTGGCATCTGAACACTTTGTTGTTACTGTAGCCTTTGTCTCATTGTTAGTACGAGGGAAATCAATGCAAAGACTTCGAAACATGACCGCACACAACATTGAATAGAATGTCACTTGGATGTTTGGAACAATTCATTTGCAAGTATCTGCATGACTCTAGGGTATCTCACTGCGGCAGGTTAACTTACGGATAATTTTGATCGGGAGGAAGCTGCTTACAATTCCGACTTTGCTGGCTCTTCCCTTTTCTCTTTCTTAAAATCAAAAAAACCCTCCAACTCCATCCATTCAGCAGTAAAAGCCATGAACAATTTAGTCCAATCTTCCACCGTATCCATGTCAAGATGTTCCCCGTCATCCTCCATTGTGTGCCACACTGTTGGAAACGGGGAAGGAATCATATGCAGGATTTCAACGCCACGAGCCATGAAGGGAACATGGTCGTCCTGCACAAATCCACCCATAAAATTGGTGCTTTGCTTGGACGCTTCAGGCAGGAAGAAGTTCTCAGTGGGAGGCTCCTTGTTCTCGCGCTTTGCCATTTTGGACTTGTGATTTGGAGATGTCTTCATCAGACCAAGTTTGCGCAAGCGGTCCTCGATCTTTGCCACGTTTTGATACGCCCAGTGAGTAGTGGAGAAGTACGAGGGCACCTGCGGGTTCCTGGAACCTAACAGGTCAAGGAGGACGAAGAGTTCGATCGAGTCGAGCGGCGTCCGGTAAATCGAAGCGGCGGCATGAAAGGTCGACTCCCAATCGCCAGCAAGAGCCCTGCATGTCATAGCTTAGCACTTGATTGTAGTGATCACAAGCAACGTTACCCACCTGGCACCATAGAGACTGTCGGTATCGGTCCAGGATTTGAAAGCCTCCTCGCCGTCCAGCAGCAGGACTTGGACGCCTTTGTGCTCAACTTCAAAGTCATCGGCCTTGGCCTCGGCCCACTTCTTGGTCAGCGCCGCGTCGATGCTGCGCACAATATGCAAGATCATGGCGCATGGAGCGGCACTGTCGGTGGCGCCGATGAAGCCCGGAGGCGTGTACTTGCTGTCGTAGTGGGCGACCAGCGCCAGCCTCGACACATCGCCCTCTAAGCTGCCCGGGGGGTCGCGCGTGGCAATGATGTTAACAAAGGGAACCTCCTTTCCATTGCTGACAGGTGTCGTGGACGAGGAATTGTGCAGTTCTATCCGCCATTCGGGCAATTGCGACTTAAAGAAGTCTACAAAGTGCTTGCGGACGGCAGCATTGCTCTCAGTACCCGATACTCTGGGGACCAGAATGGGCGCCAGCAAGGAGCCCTTTTTAATGTCGAAATCATTGCCGGGCCCGGGCAGGTGCTTGAGTGTCTCGTCGCTGAGGTCGTGGTAAGCGGAGCCGAGGGAAAGGCATGAAAGAAGCGTCAGGAACGCGCGGGCGAACAACATAATTGCGACCTATCACATAAAGCATGCACCAATGGATCCGAAGCGGGCTGCACAGGGAGATAGCGGTGGTTCAAACAACAATATGACTAGTAGCTGACATAGCGACGGCTGGCACGTGTGTAGTGGAGTAGTCGATTAGAGTTGTATAGAGGAATCGTGGCTTCTCCTTGTCTCCAGCCCAGACGCTGAGACACGCACCGCCTCTCGGCGCTCGGGCGAACTGGCGCCGTGTCGCCGACGCACGTGACACCGCGACATGTGCAAACCGAGATTTCCAATTCACCCCTCGTGCTTTTTTGCTATTGGCCAATCGCCCCTCGTCACGCCTGACCAAAGCGACCATGACTATAGACATTAGCCATTGAACGAGTACATGCGAGAAACCTGCACGCTGCTGGGGAGATCCTACAACAATTGCGGTACAATTGCGACACCCGTATCCTACTCACCACCCACCCACCCATTCCCACGCAACATGCAGCCACGTCTATTCGTCCTTGCAGCTGCTTTCAGAAGCACTGCACCACTATCAAGAGCTGGAAGACCGGTGGTCAAAACACACATTTCCACCTTCATATGTCGGAGCTGTCAAAGGAAATTTTCCACTTCTCCCACACTGCGCTTCTTCGGAACATCAGCAAAAGAAGGCGCCAAAACAGCTGAGAAAGATCGGAGTACGTGGACATGATTTCCTCTTAGTATGAATGCCATGGACTAACAAGCAAGCAGAATACCCATCCAGACTACTCATATATGATGCGGGTGACGCACGCACCACATGGATCTCCTTCTGGAAAGCAATGGCCTTGCTGCAGTTTGGTACCACTTTAGTCTTCGGTGTACCCCCCTTATGGAACAACGAAAACCAACCTGACCCGCGATTGAGAAAGATGCAGGCCATCTTAGGTAAGTATTCTGCCCTATGCCATCGTCTCGTACATCTTCAATCACCCCTCGAAATGTTGCATGACATTGTATGGTGTTCATCCCGCGACTTCTTCCTTTAATCGTCCCTTAAATGATTTCCAGTCACGCTTATTTCTTTCTCGGTCTATCTTCATTTTGATTTCGTTTTTCTAAAATATGTTTCCTTCTTATTTTTCATCTTAACGACAATCTGTTCCAGTCATGCAACTCCACGCCACCCCAGGGGCCATATGTTCAATTGGCTTTGCAACTCCTCACTATCTCATTCTCTCTTTCATTACACCACCAATACTCAACCACCATCTAACAATCCCACCAAGTCGGCGTCCTGGGCACCATTCCTACCCTAACCATCGCTTACCTCACTGCTCCTTTCGTTCACCAAATCTTCCTCCAAATCCCCGAACACGCTCGGCGCTCCCGCCATGATCTCCTCCGATTCGCGAGCATCTTGCGTAAGAACCCTCTTGCAACCGCGAATACCAAACTCGAATTCGTGACCCTTCGTATTTTCCCCTTCCGCAAACACACTACCGCTTTCCTACATGAGCTGCGCGCTCTACCACAGCGCCGATTCCGCCTTGCCAATATCGAGTTGCCCAAGACGGATGCATGGGCGCAGAGGCAAAGAGAGAAGGGTATTCTGAAGAGGGTGCTGGATGTGATTAACGAGCCGAGGTTCAAGTTTTACGTCAAAGAGGGCAGGTTGTATACGATGAAGACTAAGGTTCCGGGCGTGTGGGAGGAGGTTGCCGAGAGGATTCGGGATCAGACGGTTGCAGAAAGGGAGGAGCAGGAGAGGAAGAGCAGGGATGGCGGGGTTGCGGTGGCGAGGAAACCTGTTGTCGTTGCGAAGAGGGTGAGTAAGCCTGTTCTCAAGGTTGATGAGAGAATCAAGAGACAGACAACGAGGAGCTTGCGCAAGTAGATTTCGGGTACCCTTGAACGGGAATGCATTGAGTGGCCTTGTGCACAAAGCATGAGATACGAATCTCGCCAGATATCAGCAACAACCTCAAAATCCAAACATACGCCCATTATGCGAGTACACAATTACTTTGCACGGTTACTTTTATTGGAGTTTTCCCACTACAATGCCCTCCATTTTTACACGAAATTCTATGCTAACTCATAAAATGCTGGCTTAGCCTTCTCAAGCGCATCATTGTGGCTTGGCTGCTCTTTTCCAATCGATGCACTCGAGCCAACAGTCTGATCCACCAGACCACAGCGCTCTAATAGCTCAGCAAGCCCAACCTCGCGATAAACCTTATTCCATCGCTCCTTTTCGCGCTGTGCAGTGCCGACGGAGCCAGAGAGATGGTCCATTTTCTCCCAAAATGTTCATTAGCAGAGCATTCACCAAGCATACTAACTTGGTGACTTACAAGCGACAACCCCTTTGTCTCGGGGAAAAAGAAGATGATGAAAGCGGCGCCTACGACAGTGGAAATATCAAAGAACATATATGTGCCACATCGCAGGTGGGTAAGCATATCTGGTGTGACTTGACCAACCATGAAGTTATTCATCCTACAGTAACGTCAATATCTCGAGCCTTGAAGATCGTTCATGGTATGACGACCTCGCTCACCTATTGGAAGAAGCGCCCAGAGCAATACTGTATGGGCGATTTGCCAGGGGCCAAATCTTAGCCATAACGATCCACGAGTAAGGGCCCCATGAGTAACCAAAGAAGACCACAAATAGCCAAACCATCGCGCATACAGCCCAGCCCGCACCTTGGTGGTGAGGCCAGTCTTTTTCAAAACTAGCAACGATTCTAGAAATGATGAAGTGGCAAGCATCCATACCGATAGCTCCACTGATAAGAACTGGTTTGCGGCTAAGCGTGTCGACACAAAACTGCCGGGGCTATCGATACATTAGCGTCACACAATTTGTAGTTAAGTATTTGACTTCAGAACTTACTCATCGCCAGAAACATGATGATGCCCACAACACTGGTAGCCAATAAACTAACCGAGTTGCTCGACAAGCCCAGATCATCGAAGATGATCGGCGCGCAGTACAAGATTGCATTAATTCCTGTCCATTGTTGAAACAGCATGGTAAGCACTGAGATCATTACACGCTTGAACATCCCCTTTGTCGTAAATAGATTCCCAATTGCCACGAATTGGAGTTTGAAGGTTGACGCCGCACTCATATCCTGAAGGTGGGGGAAGTTTTCCACGAGTGACTTCTTCTCAAACAAACTCTGAGCACGGATCTCGGAGTGTTCGAGCTCAATGAGCTCATCCTCTTGGGAGAGGCCGCGTAGTTGAGCCAATACACGCCGGGCCTCGTTTTCGCGATTATGGTGGACCAGCCAGCGCGGCGAGAAGGGCATGAAGAGCATGCCAACACCAAGCAGGACAGCGGGAGCCAGTTGCAACGCCAGAGGGATGAGCCATGCAGAATCCTTTTGTCCAGCTCCGGTTCCGCCAATGTAGTCGGTGCCATAATCGATCCAGAAAGGGACCATGATTCCAAGCATGATACTCAATTGCTGAAGTCCGACAAGCGCACCGCGTACCTCCGGTGGAGTAACCTCTGCATTATATATTGGCACAATCATTGACAAAGAGCCTACGCCCATCCCTATTACAAAGCGACCTCCAAGGATAGCGCTGTGGCCGATTCCCGTGATAGCTGTGCACTGTACAACAACACCAACAATGGATATGCTGACGTTAATTAGAATGATCCATTTCCGCGACAGTATCTCTGCGAGAAAACCAGAGTACATCGTCTCGAACCAAGCGCCGAGTTCGAGAATGGAAAAGAGCCAATCTTGCTTGGAAGAGCTCCATTCCAGCGTCTGTAGATCTTCGATTCAGTCGCCCATGTCTAGCAATCATTAGCATCAACCATTGCAACTTGAAACGTGTTCTCAGCTACTCACGCCTCTTCAACGAGTTCATGGTAAGGACGCCGGAAAAGACACCTTGATTGTAACCATATAGCAGTACTCCTAAGCAAGCAAAACATGCAATGTCAAACACTTTTGCGTTTTTGACCAGGGCCATGGGTCCGGATGTGCCAGCCAGGGCCTTTCGACGTGCCAAAGCTGCTACCTGGATATCGCCGCCACCACTACCGACAGGAGCCATATTAATGGAGTTAGAACGGGCTGATGTACTAAAGACTGGTAGAAAGAATCGAAAACGATATGCAGGACTAGCAGGAGGGGTGTTCGCAGGATCAATTAGTCCTTCATTAGTCACTCCGAAGTCCTGAACTGTGGAAACCTGGCGACAAGGTCATCTTGGGGAACTGATCCTACATATGCAATCCGAACTTGCCTCACCGGCAACGCATACTTGACTCAACTCTAAAAACAGATCCAGAATACATCAACAAAATGGTTAATCTCAGTCGCACCAATGCTTGATTCTTGCTGTGGGGGCAATACTCGCGTCGGAGTTATCGAATATCAGCTCCAAATGCTCGTCTCGTGCGAGATGGAGACGATCTAAAACCAGTGGAGAAGACGCATAACATTGGATCAGAGCGTGGAGAGTGGTTATGATGGCAGGTTGCCTCCAGTGGGGCCCCATTGTTTGCTAAGCGGACGCGGATGCATTGTGCCCTGAACCCTATACTGTTCACAGTTCGCGATTCGACTTCCCATCAAATTAGTCTTTCTGACTTGCTCTCAAATAGTCCGTATTTGGATCTGCAGTCTGAGAAAAGACAAGCTTTGAGGCTCAACTGCAGGAACCAGGCCTTTGCAAAAAAAAAAGGTCGCGCGGCGATAGATTGAAAACGTTAATCTGCCGCAGCGCGGGTCTCCATATCCCTACTGTGTTGTACCAATATCGTGCATGTGTGGAGTCTCCAACGCGGGTTAGTAGTGCAACTTTTTCATCATGCCTAAATACCAGAATGGCTCGGTTTTCGCAAACAGTGAAAAACTGGCTTTTTGGCATGCCATGGTAAGGTCGTGGGGCATGCGGCTGTGTATATCGAGCAGGATGATTCATCCACCATTTAGCCCAAAGTCCATTCACCTTGAGTTCTTTGTCCGTGGATGAGAAATTCGTGAAGGAAGAAGGAGTTGTTCAAGACCAGTCAATCAGAGTGGGTTTATAGTGATGTCATACTGAGCGGAGCACATGGAACATAATTTTCTGAATCAAACTCGTTGTTGCTATTAGAGAAGAAAGGTGTTGGAGCCCTTAGTAATTTCGACTTCTCCAAAGATGAAAGATAAGGAAAGTTGCCGAAAGACAACTATCATCCTTAGATTTGCAAGATATATCCTAACTCCTCGTTAGATGAGTGGTCAAGTCTTTCGTCACAGAAAAGGACATATTGACGACGAATTATACAAGTAATCCAAGCAGGATCTGTGTAAACCACCCCTTCCAGAAATATAAGGGACCATCCCGAACATATGAAAGTGATAGAAGTGATTGCTAATACGAGTAGTAAATGCTGAAATTTTGCGTATATTGCGAATCTGAGACGAAGTGTTCCATCAAATGATGAGAGCAGTCAGAAGAAGTCCGCAAGTGATAGTGGGATTTCGGTGCGAACAAACAGAGCGAATTCTCGGCACTGAGGAAGTCTCAAGACAAATTTCCACCAGCAGCAAAAGAACAAAAACTAAGAAGTTATGACGTTGAATTCGAAAGCTCAAGTAGCTGCGATCATGCAATTGCCGAACAAAATGGAGACCAAAATGCCATTCTGGGTGGTATTCTTATCTCTTGGATTATCAAGGAAATTGATGCAAAGAAACATCATGCCGTTGTGGACGAAGATATTACCCACTATCTTCAATAAGATATTCCCGAAGATGCTTTCTGTAACACGGCATCAAATAGGGAAAGAATATACGAGAGTAGTGCCCACTCACTAGCCTCTACGACTGAGGAATATGGGTTGAGCGGTGGCCTTCTTTGGTGAGGGCGCTGTCTTTTTTCTGTAGAGGGTTCCTACCATTCGCACAGTAGAGACATTGATAGAGATAACCAGGATTGGTGCTTTTGACCGATTCTAGTCGCAATACTGTTTATGATCTCGTGTGCGGGAGGCATGAAAGCAACGGCCAAGTCTTCAATAGCCACGACTAAATATTCGTAAGTTTGACCCGTAACGCTATCTTCAACTCTTGCACCACAGTCGCTGGGTTTGATGGTCTTGTTTCTGTCCTGCAAGATCATTTCATACATCTTTGGGAATAAAGCAGATTTAGGAAATCACATGTACGCTGGAGTTTCCAAGAGCTCACCGAGAAATAGAGACGTGGATGTAGAATAGATCATTCTGGTGGTTAGGATGGAGGGAGCGATTTCAGGCATATGCTGTATGCTCCACGGTTGAAGAAACACAAACAATTGATCATGAAACTGACGGTTAGCTAAAATAATAAAGGCCCAATCCTGGTCCACGGAGAACTTCGCAGTATTTTCAAACGCGTCAGGTCACTGACATTCTAGGGGTGCCTTTTGGATTTCGGAAAACTCTCCTACCCTTAACCCGTGAAGAGAATATGCTCGAACGATAGAGGGAGCATGCAAACCTGGATTAGAGAAGAAAATCCAAACTGATTCCTGACTATTACTCGACTCATCTGGGACAGAGCTTACGCTGCTGCGAGATGTCATCCCCACGTCTGCTCTCGCATGGTGTTCGCCGTCTACACTCCCGGGAATCTCAAAGTCGCCATCTTCACTTCTGGAGCCATCCTCATGCGTATTCGAAGTCTCCATTAGTATACGTGAGACAGTTATGTAATAAAACTTTGAACTGTATGATATGAAACTTGCGGTAGCTCCATATGCATCCCTCTCGTCGCTCCTAACTCAACTTACAACCAGCAGCCTTACTGTACTTGGATGTCAGAGAAGCCAAGATCTGGATTTCAGCCTCATCCTTGCTCTTCAAACAATAGGAATTTTGCAGCGCCTTGACGCACCAGAAAGGCCTACTTTGTTATGACTGTACAATGCCTTTGAATGTTCTTCTCAAAAATGCAACTTCAAAAACTATGCATAAGGAGATCACTTACAGGATTTGGGAAAATGTTCGGCAACAGGCAGTTATCAACATCTCTTGGCAGCAACTCACCAAGACATAATGACTATCGCGAAAGAAATCGAGAGAATGAAGAGTGAATATGTTATTTCCACAATCGGATTCGAAGACGGAAAATTGGTTCACGCAGATGCGACGCTCTGTCTCCAGGGATATCCAATTCGATCTTCAACTGGTTAGATGCGGTTCTTTGAGGGCTGAGAAACGCAACTTTTCAAAGTTCAAGTACTTGCATGAGAGACTGGCTATTCTGAAGCAGGCTTTCGATGAATCTCGTCCGGCAACGATTTCGTAGTGGTAGCATGATCGCAAGAATGGTGTCCAGTGGTACATTTTCTGGATTGCTACCATAGTTTTGGCGCTCGCCATATCTTTGGTCTGGTCTAAAGTGTTGAGGGAGCGATACGGGTGTACAAAGAATGTCCCCCATCAAAGAGATAGCGACACGTCTCATAGCGAAGGGAATCCAAGCACTTCATGAGCCATTTCCTTAATTTCATATCTGCAGAACAATGGATCAAGACCTATCTTTCTATATCCTCAAGTGATCAGAAGTGTTTTTTATTTCATTTTAGATACGCCAACCCCTTCACACATAATCAAGCCTCAACCTCAATCGACCAAGATGTCCACCTTTACACCAGCCCTACCCTTCCCCACCACTCCCTCAACCACTCATTCCCTTCCCACCAATGTCACCTCCATAACCGCCATATTACTACCAGGTGGCTCCTTCCACGCCTTGAGTTCCAACTTCGGCTCCGTACTCGCGAACAGGCCCTTCCACTCCTCCAACTCGCGCTCTCTGCTATTAAACAGCTGGTTCATTGTCAGGTCGCGCACGCGCAGATAGGCATCTTGAAAGCGAGGAAGGGTGCCGGGGAGCGGTAGAATCGAATCCATGACGAGGATACGGGCAAGGGAGTTGCCACTATCGCGTAGAGCGACGGCGAGGTGATTGAGAATTTCACGGGCCTGGTGATCGGGCCAGTTGTGTAAGATCCGACGGAGGAAGAAGATGTCAGGTTTGAGACCGTTGGGTTGGGGCGTGAAGAAGTTGTGGACTGAGAAGTTGATGCGTGAGGCTACAGAGGTGCTGGTGAGTTGGGGTAGTTTGGCTTTGCCTTCTGAGACTACCTCGGGGAGATCCTGGATAGTGAAGTGGAGGTCTGGGAAGGCTGAAGCTAGTGCAATAGATGCGTGTGCAGTCGATCCGCCAACGTCGACGATGTTTGCTTCACCCAGGCTGACCCAGTCGAAGCCATCGACAATGTGTTGGACACTGCCGCTTCCGCTTCGTTGTAAAGCACGCATGTAACCTGAGAAGGCCTTATTCATGTCTGGATGGGCTTCTAGGTGCTCAAAAAAAGTCAAGTCGGTGTTGAGGGTCAAGTTGAAAGCTGTCTCGTTTTTGGCTACCGAGTTGGGCCATTTCGCTGTTGCTTCGGTAAAGTGATATGCCGCTAGAGCTTGGTAATTGTATATGAAGAAGGCCCAATCTAGAAGAGCACTATCCGTTGCGAACGATGCTGATAGTTGGGTGTGCGCAATTTGCATTGGTGAGGGTTCAACAAAAATCCCGTCCGTCATGACCATCCGCACAACTGACTGTAGCCGCCTGATAGGCACATTCGCTTTGGCCGCGAGGTCCGTATAGGCAATGGGACTGAGATCAGCTGGAACATGCTTGAAGATTTCAAATCTCGTCAACCATTTCAAACAACCGAGACATTCGCAGCGGATCTGATGCTGTTCAAGTAGCTTCGGCGCTGTTAGCAGAGACGTTTGCAGCTCCTGCGTTGCTTCGAATAGAGCGTCAGCGGACCCCTCGCCATTGCCACCAGCTTCCACTTTCTCTGCCTCTTCAAGGATCTTTTGTGCAAGTTTGACAAGAGAACTTGACTTATCCATACTGCCGTTGGTTTTACAGATGAAGGGACCAGAGTGTATTTGATACATGTACCGGAAGGGCGCGGCTTACGAACTAACATGCCCCACAGCATAGTGTAACGTGTATTATGGTAGTTATATCGGAAGCTTATGTACCCCACATAGTGACGCCTTCTGGTCGCCCTGCTCAAGCGATTGCAAATGTAATGTTGGACGTGTTCGACACGTGAGAAGGCGACGTCAGCACGCCAGGTACTGCTGACTCCAATCAGCTTGGGACAGCAAATACCAATGTGTCATGAGAAAACTTGACGCGGAGCACTACTCCCCAGTGAGACGAAGCTATCGCGAGATACCCAGTGCTACCATGTCCGTAGAGGGCACGAGGCTTTCGGATCGAAGATTATTTCAATACTTCTTTATATTGTATCATCTAGAGGTATCGGGATGTTTGTTGGAGATGTTTGTTAGAGATAAAAGGCGGTCTTTGTTTTAAAGTAGACACTCCATGGACGTGATGCCAGTTTGTATTCGGCGCGAGTGCGTGGCGTAAACTTTGTTTCATTGACTGTCTCGTACTATCAGCGTCTCAAAGGGCAACCTACGTTTGAATGAGTACACTTCATTTATCAATAGCAAGACTGCCACCCCTGACTGCGCGTGAACTCACGCTTTCCGAGGGCCAAGGATGAAATCGATGAACTTGGTCTGTGCATTATGGTGATGTATCGTAATGTTGGGGTATCATTTGAATCAAAACTATTCTTCTTTTAATTGTCATCATGTTTTCCGTTGACGCTTCTTTGCTTTTGTGAGCGCTTCTGATATAGCAGCGAGCTCTTGCTCAACAGCTTCGTCATCTTCGCTTGCGTCATCCTCGGCACCCTCGAGTGCGGCACCTCCCTCTTCATCTTCCGAGTCTTCGTCATCATCTTCTTCCACGTCGTCATCCTCGCTGAAGCCGCCAAACTCATCATCGTCATCGTCGTCATCAATCTGGTCTTGAGCTGCGCCGCTTGCATCGGTAGTCGCTGCCACACTTCCGGTAGCCTGGCTTTCGCCGTCGCGCTTGCGCTTTTTGCTCATCTCGCCAAGCTTGCCGTCACGCTTCTCATTGACAGGTCCAGTTTCTTCACCTTCTTTGAATGGTGGTGGAGTGAACCAGGGGAGCTTTCCTCTTATCCAGTCATTGAGAACCATCTTGGCAGCACCATCAATGTCAGCCTCGCCTCCCTTGAGCAGACGACCGCTCTTTCGGCATAGTACTTCCAAGAACCGCACAGCATCATTCTCGTAATCCTTCTCCTTGATGTCGTAAGTCCTTTGGAGGTGTTTCGGTTGAACTCTCCTCAAGACAGCCTCGATATACTGAGCTGGGTACTCAACATTCTCTACACGAACACTACCACGCAGCAGAAGATCTTCGTCTGTGTCGTTTTGGTTCGGTGGGACAATACCCGGACAGTCGATCATATAGATGCGCTTCATCAAAGTGATGTACTGCCACACCTTGGTTTCACCAGCAATAGGTGCAACAACGCACACCTTCTTCTTTCGAAGAGTGTTGATGATGGATGACTTTCCAGTGTTTGGGTAGCCAACCATGCCAACCGAAATTTGCTTGCGGTCGCTGTGAAGAGAGCTGAACTGACGGAGAAGAGCGATGAGAGATCCCTTGCCGAAGCTGTTGTTGATCGAGGCGTGGAAAGCTGCCCTTGTGGTTAGCTCATTAATCAGGTGAAGAGTACAGCAACAACAGAACGTACCAAGTGTTGGGAATTCACGACTCAGATGGCGTACCCATGCGGCCTAAGCATTGTTAGCTATGTCCATTGATGAAACAGCAAGTTGCGAAATCGACAATGGAATGTGTGAAATATTACTAAGAGTACCGCCATGAAGATGCGAGTGCAGAGACGGTCCTCAACTCAAACAAATCACGCGTGACTCTATTGACTGACAACCAAGACGGTTGCCAGTCGACCCGTAATCAAGACGATCTTGGGCCGGCGAGCCACTTTTGCTCTTCCCAACTTGTAACAGAACCATAATCATTGTAGAGGAAAAGGTCCTTGACTTAAGGAGGGTGTGGATGGTAAGGGGGGAAGTGTTGTGGGGAGGTAACTTACAGCTACTTTGGAGGGCACCAAGTCGACCTTGTTAAGGACAAAGACCAGGTGCTTATGAGGTGCTTCTGTGCGAATGTATTTCTCGACTGATCGACACCGTGTACCGTCTGGATCTCTGGCGTCTAGGACGTGCAAGATGACATCGGAGGAGTCAATGACCTGAACAGAGAAGGGTCAGCAGGGAGCTAGGGCCACTTTGACCGAAGACTCTTACCTTGTAGAGTTCGTTCCAGATGCGCTTGGATGTTCCCTTCATGAAGATGAATTCTCGAGCCGATGTGAGCTCGCCATTGGGAGTATCATTATCACCCTCCTTTTCTTCGCCCGAGGTACCTGACAGAAGTTTGGCCTGTTCAAGGCGCTCGACGTAGTTTTCGTGCATGCTGTCGGTTCGGCCAGCAAGATCCTCGATGGAGCTGAAGTCAAGCTTTGGTCGCTTCCGCTGGGCCTTGGGGCCAAACGTCTCTGAAAATGGCTGGCTGTCGACAGCAATTTTGGCCGCGTGCTGCTTCAAACCAGGAATCTGGCCAGGCGTCTCGATCAAGCTCATGGGCAGCTTGTTGCGCTTCATAAGATATGTGCTGGGGTCGGCGGCCTGGGCCTGAACAGCAGACCGGAAGCTCTCGAGGGCATCTTGAGATATCACCCGCGTGTTGTTGAACCATTTGCGATTGGGCTCTACGCGGGCGACAGGCGCATCACGGCTCTGGTAGACGGCGGCCTTTGTAATGTCTCCCTTGGCATTGCGCTCGGCCTTGCCATCAGTAAGGCGCTTGAGCACTTTTACTTTTTTCGCATCACTGTAAGCTGTTAGTATCTACATGGCGCATTGCAGGGTGGATGTATACATACCGATAAAAGTTGGTGCCCTTGACTTTGACATTGGCCATGCCATCGTGCGCCTTGCCCTCGCGCTCGCGGCGGCTTTTCTCTTTCTTGTGGACACCCATGTTGGCTCTGCTTCCTTTGGGGGGATTGACAAGAGGTGGAAGGGCGAAGAGTGAAGGAAGGTCGCGAACATGGGAATGGGCAACTTTTTTTGAGAGGCGGAGCTAGTCTGGGTGGGGCTAAGCCGGCTTGGCACCGACATTTTCGAAGACAGCCAGGCCGACCAACACCACGCCCGCACCTCCGCATTGCTTTGGCTCCCTTACTACCATCGCAATGCCGCCACGGATATCCGTCCGCTTTGCCTGGACGTCTCCTTCACCCGCCGCGGCCCTCAATGGGTGCAATACTAGCTTGGGTGGCCGCACATTCTCCTCTACACCACCGTCACTCGCCCTCGGCCCGCAATCTCCAAATTATGTCGAAGTCCCCAAGCCATTGCAGCCCACCTACCCAGCCAAACCCACCGTAAAAGGCCATCTGCCAATTCCACGTGATATCTTCAAGACGAGGAATAAGCACCCCAAGGAATCAGACGTTTTTCTGGGAAAGACGGCACGAGAGCCCAAGGAAGTGAAAGTGCCAGGACCATATAGCAGAGATGCCGAATACCGGCTATACAAGCAACGGCTGGCGGATAAGAGGAGAGAAAACTTGAGGGAGGGTGTCAAACAATTGCACGAGAGGAAAGTCACGTCAGAGGCACAATACATGGCCAAGATCCAGGCCATTGGAGCGCAGAGGCGCGAGCTGGCCATGGCGCCCCGCCGCGAAGTCGACATCTTGACCGAGAACTCGGTGTCCAAGGGCATCCGCGACTTCCTCACAGACAACCTGCCACCGCGAAAAGACATCTCCAAGGCCCGCAGCAGATCCTACCAACGAAGAATGGCTAAGGTGGATGCAATGCGCGCATCGCGTCTTCACGACCTGTACACAAATGCGCGCGAGTTCATTGTAGACGAACAACAACTGGACGAAGCCATTGACAAGGCTTTTGGCACAGAAGAGTCGCCTATGGGCTGGGACACGAGAGGCAACATGGGCCCAAGACACGCGGGCAACGAGGGGCTCAGTCCATGGCACGGACCTATGCCCGAAGGCGTGGGCGATATGCTGCAGAAACTCAAGGGCGGCGAGGGCGTCGGTCTCGCCAAGGAGAGAGTCAAAAAGCTTGCTGAGGAGCTTACGGGAGGCAAGATGTAACCAATGTACCAGTGTTATGTATTATATGGTCAAATATACCCTCCATGAAGAGACCTATTATCAATTTCTGTGTTTGTTTGCAGTTCAATGTTGATTGCGAGAACTAATTTGATTAATGTTGTTAAACTACAATGTCGTGCAGCTACCCATTTGGTGTTTGCAGGAATAAAACTCTTGGTAGGACATGCATCCCCTTCACTTCGTTGCAAGAAATGAATACTACAACGGCAACCTGAGGTAACTGCAATACAACGAGAAAAGATTCTTTGCTATTATGTATCGGTTGCGTCGCTTTTTCTCTGCCATTATGTAGTGAAGAAAGATCGTTTTCTGCTCATGCGGCAGTGCCTAGCTTTGGCATATCGATAGCATCAAGTAAGCTGTTACATTCTGGAGTCTGTAAAGATTGATTTCTCGGGGATTTATTAGAGTTGATTCCTTCAACATAGTACATACGACCATAGATTCGAGATCTTAGCGCTTCCCGTTCGCTCAGCGGTACTCAAGCTCGAAATCGGCGGACTAGTACTGTGTCCGTGCGCGGAATGCGCGGATTCGCGCAATGCGCCGAACCACCAAAACCTCTCTATCGTCTCAACTTTACAACAATACAACGCAATGGGCTTAGAAGAAGCGCTTGAAGAGTGTGATACTTTCGAATCTAAAGATCAAATCCCCTGGTCTAAAATAGCTAAAAAAACATGGCGTTGTGCGCTCAACGTTGACTCGAAC